ATCAATGAAAGCACACTTAGAAAGTGAACGGGAAGAACACCTATGGCGCGCTTCCTGCATCGTCCATTTTGAGGATAAATTGGTCGGAAACATGTGCCACCAAATCTACAGTCCTTATCACTGCAAGCGATAGGACGTGTGACAAGGCGTGGCATTGAAGAGCTGCCAATGAGCCCTTTCACATACTCACTTTAATTGACGAGAAACACCATTCTGGCTGCTCTCCAATCCACGCCCCTTCACACGCCCCATGGTTTGCAGGGATCATGACTATATGTCTAGGTAATTTAGAATGATGTGCAAATATACAGATAGATGAAGAAAAACAAGCGAAAAAAGCAAGAGAACATTGTAAGAGTATTTCGATAAATTATGAAAGACATTACATTGTGACATTAGGCATGGCATGTTCACAAAGAAATGTGCCATGGTCGCTACTGGGGCCGTAATTGCCTGCAGTGCGACAAGATATCGAACAAGGGACAAAAATATAATGAGCATGCATGAATATCCGAATAATATAACCTATTTTATGACATTTTATGACCCTGAAATGCGAAACTCTGACACTCTCCTTGAAAATGGAAGAAAGAACTGCAATCACGTGAAATATTGTTGGGATTGAAATGTCCGAGTTTCGCATGAGGGCTGGCACTTCTTAACCATGAAGACGCGACGTCACTTTCTCGTGCTTTTGATGTTTCATATAGTAGACGATCGTTTTCATCAACCCATCTTCGAATGGGGTCGTACATTGCCAACCCATTGCCTTTTTGATTTTCGAGAAATCGATATAGTATCGACGATCGTGGTACGGCCGATCTGGTATTGGTACAAAGGAAGGGGGTGATGGATTCCTGAAATCCAGTCGGTAATGATAGGTCATGTATATAACTGAACGCAAAATCTGAATTAAGATTGAACTATGGCCAATCGATAATCAATACAGTTAATATCGTTGCATTTTTCTGGGCAGTGTCAGAAGGCATGGAATGAGCTCATCCGCGCCGTTTTCTATCACTGGTTGTTTCTTTACAAGTCGATCACCAATCGATCACTGGGCTCACTCCTCCCATCCTGACAACGCCCCGACAACCTGCGACAATGTCGACAACAAACTGTTCACTCAACCGACCTTTACATCCGATAAACCTGAGAAAGGTGAAGAAAAAATGAGAAAACCTAGCATTTGCGAGAATACCGCCTCAGATAAAGAACATCCGACACTTTTTTCCTGGTGTCTGTTCGTATGCCTCCGACTTAGAGTTCATGCCGATAGGACGAGCGTGAGTTCAGCGTAATCGTGCGCGCTGTGGAGAGCACAAGTTTCGAACATTAGCAAATGTACACGGACGTAGTCGCACTCCCAAAGGTTTAAAAGATCAGGTGGCGGGGAGCGGACCGTGCGACTTTGAGAGCGATTGCTACCCAACATCGACTCCTCTGAACCGAAATTCCCAAGCAACAGGATGACAAAAGAACACCTGGACGACCGCCTACGGGATGGTCAGACTTCTTCGTGAACGCTCTGAACGAAGGGTATGATGCTCACGTGTCCAGTGAGAACATTGAACCCACTGGGGTAACTCTAGTACGCTACATGGACCAATGGAGCCGTTACTGATGCCCGCTCGCCGGCTCGCTTGATCAACGGAATCACATAAGTGATGATTTTATTGTCGATGAATATTTCTTTCACGCTGTAAATAGATGAAAAGAACGATGCTGAAGTTGTCCACTCCTCTCTAAATACTACCAGCAGACCCACTCAGAAGATGCTCACTTGCAGTCGTCATCCTTGCAGATGATAGGGCGTGATAGGGCGTGAGGGGTGGAGCGTACTGGAGCGCGGCCAGCGCAGCCTTTTCCATCAACTCTTCATCCCGATCCGCGATAAATAAAGGTTGTAACCGGCTGCGACTCACCCCATGCCCACTCTCCACATCGGCACCCATTCCCACACGTTTGGGCAGGGGTATCGGACTATTTGCGGCGAGCATATACAACTGCGATGCATATCATTAGTTCCAACTTATGAATCTCACAAAAAAATCCTGTCTACACAAAAAGTTTTCCAAAAATGCCCCCATACAGAAAAATGTGGTAATTACCAATATCCAATTCGCATGCCAACAATGAACACTAACTTGAAAAAACAATTTTTTTTTCGTCAATTTTTTCAAAATGGTCCTTCTGACAACGCGGCAAAAAATATAGTTCCACCGAACAAATCGAATATTCCAACAACAAGTGCACAATAAAATGAGTAAATTTTGATCCAGTAATCTACTGGAACTCTATTTCTCCAATTAAGTTGGAAAATACGGTTGCCCATGTTCAAAGCGCTCGAGTGCCTTCAGACTGTCATGACTGGTGCAAAGACTATCCTGCAGCGAAAACGGGAACTTATCTGCTGATTTCTACGCCAGAAAGTAAGGAGACGTTGTCGCATGACTTTTAGATGACGGAGGAAATCATTTCTTTTTTCATACTGAGCACAGTTTCAGACGTTCCATTGGTGCAATGGCAGCCCAGACCATGAGACCACATCCACTGGAGTACCGCCCGGAAAAATGAAACTTGTCTTTCCTCAGGTCGTGCCAGCGGAATCGGTTTTCGTCGGAGCCGTCGCAGATGAAATATTTTTTCTCAATACAAGAAAACTCGACCGCAAGAAAAAAAAACTGAAAAAAAACACTACAGACAAGCAGTAGGGTACCGCAGCCAAAAGCTGACCTCACTCCATTGGGTTCGGCAACATCTTCGAGCAAAGCCAATTAGGTTTTCGCGATGGTTTTTCGTTAGAAACAAGTACGTAACTTATAACATCCTCTACGGGTGAACTCGGAGTTTTTTAGAGACCGCCTAACAAAAGTATCCTCCGAGACTAGCCTGCGACCAGAGTGACTTGATTTCCGCGACATCAACACTGCAGAGTTGGATGCTTTCCTAAGGATACGGCGCTTATTCCGATCGGGCAGCAAAGGAGGTGTCCAGAGTTCTTCTCAGCTCAATATCCTGTAGGTCCCTTGGAAAAATTGTTGATAGCATGAGTGCGGCCCGCATCCCGCGCCATTCGACGATTCACCAGTTTTTGAGTCTTCTTTGCGATAATCTGTCCTTTTTCGAGGTCCATTAATGAAGTTCCACTTGCCATAGCCTAGAAGAGGCAAGAAGTCATAATGATGAGAAGTTTCACCGAACAAAAATGAGATGCAGCCGGAAAATATGCGGTGGAACTATATTTTTGCTGCGTTGTCAGAACGACCATTTTTGAAAAAATTGACGAAAAAAAATTGTTTTTCAAGCTAGAGTTTGGTGTTGGCATGCGAATTGGTATTGGTAATTACCACATTTTCTGTATGGGGCATTTTTGAAAACGTCGTGTAAGACGGGATTTTGTGAGATTCATGGGTGGAACTATGATTATGCTTCGCAGTGTATACCGTAACTGTTTCTACAAATGCTTCTTCTGGGGTGAATAGAGAATGATGAACCACTCATACTGGTTGATTCAACAAACGAACCGTTTTTGAAGGTGCCAACAATGTCGTGGATTTTTCTTGTCAATTCGATATTGGTTATTTCGAAATCCGTTCCGATATTGTAAACCTCGCCAAGTTGGCCTTCTTCGGCCACCTTCCTGATAGCCTCCGAACAGTCTTCCACGTACATCCAACTCCTGAAGCAAACAGTATATATAGCAATAAATCATATTTCATCTAACACTCACAAGGTGGAACAGGATAACGGAAAATACAGTTTTGTTCTTAACGGATACTGCGCCGTGCCAGGAAAATAGTTCAGTCGCGATGGTAAATCCAATTTCCCTGGCAATCCGTGATGTGCTGCACCGTTTGTTGAATGAAGAAGGTGACAGTGCGGGAGGGGCTAGTGCTGCGCCAAACCCAGCCATCCTGACACACCCCAGCATCCGCAGTGAACAAGACAAACCAGTTATTCAGTTAATAGCGAAAGTATTGCAACAACCTCGTATGTAATCCGTCTCCCATCAGAGGATATGGTTTTCCCTCCATCGCCAGTTTGGTGAATTTGGGAATTAATTTTGTACATGCCTGACGTGGTCCATACACGTTGTTCATACGGACCATAACATATGGTAGTTTGTAAGAATGCTGAAATTTGGAGTCCTAAACGACATTTTCAACACTGACAGAAATTGGCCTGGAAGGTTTGTCAGTCAAACGGAAACTTGGCTTTCCAAAGAATGAGGTACACAACTCACCCAGTACGAACGTATTATCATTTCACATGCTGCTTTACTGGCTGCATAGGGATTCGTCGGATTTGGCATGGAAGTCTCCACTTTCGGTGTGGTATCATCAAATGAGTCACCGTATACTTCATCTGAAATAACTACATTCTCTCAATACTTGTAAACATATAAGTACAAACGTCGCACAACCTCCAAGAATGCAAATCGCCAGGGTTCCAACCCCGTCTATTGCCATGGGTTTACATGAATGCTCTTAATAGAAACCAAAAAAAACGCTTGTGTACTGCGCTCTTTCAGCACTGTCAGAGAAAGCGTGCACTCATTTCGTGTAGTGTCAAATTAGTACTTTTTTCAACAGTGACAGAGCCCGTGAAGCAGTATTTGAAGAGACATTTCGCGATTACTTATACAAATCAGGACACTGTGTTAAGGACGTCGTGTGGACCACAGTGGGCAATCCTGCTTCAATTTTGCATCAGAAAAAGAATACCTAGGCGTTTTGAGGCGCGATGTAGCCCATGATGCGAATAACGCCACACTTCACGTTCAAGAGGTGATGAGGGCGTGGCTACTTATAGTGTAGCTCGCTACGGTTGACCGTGTCAGGCGGGATGAGTTTGGCGCCGTGCCAAACCCGTTCTCCACCGCTTGTTAAAGCGAGCAAATGATATGACTGTATCATATCGTTCGTATTATTCGTTTTCTACACCATTTTTGTTGCATGCGCGATTCAAGAAGAAGGCAGAGAACGGCTTTGACGGGGTGACACACTCAAACTGCCTGACACGCCCAACCGTCCGCAGCGAACTAAATAGAGGTATTTCATCTAACAAGGGAAGGATGGTATTTCGAAGTGGCCATTCGAAATGAAATATATGCCGGCCGAAGGTCTTCGGCCGGGGATTACAAAACCGTTTTCCATGTCTGCTGCGGACCTCCCAAAAAGAAGTTACGGAGCTTTCAAGAGGATATTTGCATTCAATACGAATTAGCGGCGTGAGGCTGCTATGACCGTGGCAGAATGGTTGAGTGGATACGTCGTAGGGCTCACGGAATGGCGGGTTGAGGTTTTTGAATCCGTCGATCCGGATTCCAGTCATGTCATTTGGAGAATAAAGTTTTCGGCTCGCATGACAATCTCTTCAGCCAGGAGTGATCTCCATGAAATCGTTCGCAATGGCTCCTTCAGTTCAGAAACATTACATCATTTTCACCAAGACGTATCCACCCGACCATTCTGCCACAATCATATCAGCCTTACGCCGCCGTACTGAATGCGAATATTCTGCCCTTAGAAAGCTCCGTAACTTCTTTCTGGGGGGTCCCAAGCAGATACGGAAGATGCTCTCGTACCCGTCCGAAAGCCTTTTCAGTCGGTATACATTTCATTTCAAATGACCGCTTCAACCTACCATCCTTCCCTTGTAAGTATGACGTAGGATGTTTTTGACGGATATCCTACTATATATAATCCGCTATGTATGTCTGTGTGTGTATGCGTTCGTGTGTGTCCACGAAATTCATAGCGCCCGTCTCAATAGCAGTGAGACATTGATTTCAAGAAGTGTTGTAGGGTGTGTGACGGGAACACTATTGGTGGGTGACAGGAAGTGATATCAGTTGATAAGATTCGATAAGAGGCGTTAGAAGGGAGGCGCCATAATTCCTTTATCGGGGTGACGGCATCAGCTAGCTCTTGATCCCAGGATATGATATAGGGTGTGGGCCAGAACATTATTGGTGGGTGACAAGAACTGTAATCTGCTGATAAGATTCGATAAGGGGCATTAGAAAAGTGGGGTCATCGTGCTCATAGCGCAGGTTACAGGATCAGCGGTGCATGCGTTTCAGCAAGTGATATAGAAGGTGAGATGGGGACATCAACCGTGGGTGACTGGAGGCGATAACTACTGATAGGGCTGATAAGGGAAATGCAGCCATCTCGCTGTTTCGGGGTGGTTCATGCTCGCAATCTCAGGATCTTTGGCGTGAGACATTGATGAAGCGGGACACAGGTAATCCTATCAATCGATCAAAACGATAGATACCATGTGCGCTACATTTTTCGACAATTCTTTTAGTGCGCCTGAAACGGAAAAATCGAGAAATTCAGTAATCAAAAGAATTTTCGCAAATCTGCCTGCTATGTGATGTTGTGATGTGTTAGGAGTGGCCGGTCGCTATTGAAGCAAAATATGGAGTGAACCCAACAACTTGCATAAGTATACCGGTGGAAGCGCACCAAGATGTTGGTAGATAATGACTGATGATGAGCTCTTTTCAACTCATTTTTCTGGAGTTTAATGAAAAAAATAACAGCCTTCGTTTGGCACATTTACGCATTCTACCTCGCCCAATGGAAAAGTTCCTGTCGAAGCCAGGTCGGCCCGGCCGGGTGATCCGACCGGCTTTAGCTTAATACAACAGACATCTTCTTTTGCGCTCGTGCCGCCAATTCCGCCATAATTTCGCGAGGTAACACAAGATGGTGTACATACACGCAGCACCTCTTTCGCCGCGCTGGCCGCGTTTCGAAAGTGCTGAACTACACTCAGCTAGTCCCACCTGAATGCAATGCGTGTTGTACAAGTCGTTTGAATTAGCGGAAAGGACTGTTTTGAGTGCGCTCCGATTCATGTCCTATATTTTGCAGGAATTATGACTATACTCTGCTCTCTGGTCCCTCACCCGAAATCTCCACGAATCTCAACTTTTAGCCGGGCATAAAAACCTATTAGACCAACAGCTCTCCACGGTTCTTCTGTTGTTTCAGCCTGACGGTTCATTCAATCATCACAGGCTTTTTTTGCTTTTTTACCCACGAAATCTCGCGAAATGTGCCTATATGTCTATCACTGATACCACGGGCGTTTTCAGATATACAGTAATTATCTATGCAAAAGAGACGACGAAGTGAGGAAGCGTGCTCGGAGCCGCAGTAAAGGCTGCCTTTTCTCCAATTGACACCATCCTGACCAATAACAATCGCCCTGGCTGCACCCCAATCCACGTCCCCTTACATGCCTTGTCGTTTGCAGGGATAATGACTACACCAATACATTGGAATTTGACACTTACCAGTACTGATATGTACAAGCCTTTTCACTCCGCTGTAGTTTCTGTTCATGATACTCTCGAGTAACTTCGTTGTCGAAATGATATTATCCTGTATTGTTCCTACACGATCGGTATAGGACTCGTCAACATGAGTAATTGCAGCAAAATGTATCACCATATCCACCTACAAAGCGCACGGTATAGGGACACGGATGATAAACTAGTCTGAAGCAACATTGTAGTTCTTGGTACTTGAATTCACTATATGTAATATCCAAGCATCATTTTAAAAGTCAGCTAATAAAAGCGAATACGCATCTCGACCATTACTGCGCATAACCACATAACTCGGGCAGAAACTGAATTTCTATTTTCTAATATCAGAGCTTCTATAGACCTCCTTCTAAGAAAAATAGTGTGATTATCAAAGAGATACTTACGCTGGAAAATTTTGATCACGTTTTTTGAAATAATTTCGTCTCTGACTAACTCGGATATCTTTTCAAACCACTTTTCGCCGCTTAGCAAATTTAGGCCCGCTCACAAAAACTTTTCATTTCTTACCATACATAATGAGTAATCCTGTTATGGGGACATGCATAAGATAACTCAAGGCATGGCTATCATGCCTCGTGCTGTCTACCTTCTGAAGAAAAAAACACTTCCAGGTCAAAGTACTTACTAAAACCGAATGGTCCATAAGAGGGATCGCCGCATTGGTCACTACATCGGTCCATCTCTTAGCTGCGCGAAGAGACCACTTTTGATGGCACATACATGTCACATTTCCTGTACAAAAAAGTTGGGCATATGAAGCAGTAGTGAACATGAGCCTACACATGGTCTGTACTGAAATGAGACCCTCTGTGACCAGAACGAAATGGTGAGAGGTGACCTATAAAAACAACAACATGCTCGGAGTGCTGGCGAAGTCTTTTCTGGGATTTACAAAGCACCAAAGGTTTGCAATCCTCCGATTTATTCCAAAAACCAGGTTGGCAAAATCAGTACAAAATAAACAAATCGAAAAATATCAAAATTATTGCGCAAAATAATTATCAAATTCTCTATATCATTGATTATTATGCGGAAATTTTTACGAATTCTTTTTTGAAGCAACCTTTGAAGCTCTTTCAATGTTCCCCGTGACCTCAAGCGAAGAAGTAGAGCTCAGTACAGTTGGTTCTCATACACGAAGCAGAAATTGTAAAGATCTACTCGAATCGCCTTTGGTTCTGAAGAAACCCCATTTCGGTTCAGGATCAAACGCAGTTTGAGCTGCACTTTGCGCAGCTGGATGGCTTGATTGCTCTTCGCTCACTGCCATAAGATTCTGCCATTAATTTATATTCGTTGCCGCTGTTCCTTGACTTTCATGCACAACAATACTGCTCTCACTGCATGCCAATCAACAACAACTTGGCTTGCCTGTAAAACAATGTACTACTTGAGTGACCTGTCTACTCTACAATACTGGATCCGATAAAGGCACTCCGTGCTCTCATAGCGAAGAAAATCTACCGCAACGTTTGGCATTATGGAATTATTGAAGAGTAGACACAGTGCACCATCGACGCCTGAACGGACACTTTGAACTTTAACGGGGGCTTGTTCTTCTTCGAGAAGGTACGCGGTCAAGACATGATAGCCATGACTTTAGGTTGAGTTATGCGTAACGTATTACAAGCACTAGTCCTTATACATGGCAAGAAATGGAAAGTATTTGTGAGTAGCCTTTATGTGCGAAACATCAAAGAGTTAGTTCACAAAAAGATATCCGGGTTAGTTAGAGACGAGTTTATGTCAGAAAAACGTGATCGAGTTTTCCAGCATGGAAAATTCATTGGAAACCACAGAATTTTTCTCAGAAGGCAAAGCAACTTTGTTACAGCTATTACTCTGAAAGTAATTTGCAGTGTATAGCTTCCGAAACGCTTATATATTATAATGTGTGGAAAGTCGAAGTCTCTAGCCCTACTCGCGACAGCCTAATTCATTTGGAGGGGGAGCGATAACTACAGGCCGTATGCAAGTGTCTCCTTTTGAATCAGTCTCGCAGCATCCGACTGCACCACCCCCTCATGATCCAAGATGCCTTCGCTCCAGGCATTGCCGCTAGAAACGGATTAACCCGTTGAAGGACTGTGGCCG